GACGGCAAATTGTGCCGTTGCAAATACTCTGCTTTTTTGAGACAGCATTTTCTGCCGTCGCAAAAAGTGACTTTTATGTTTTTTTTTTAGTGAATATTTTTTAAATTTTAAATATTTTTTTTAGATGCACCTTACTTAGATGTATCCAAAAAAAAAATTATGAATTTTTTTAAAAAAATTTAATAAATACATAAAAATACAAAAAAAAAATGTATTGAATTATTGTATTTTTGGTATTTAGTGAATTTTTTAATTTTTTTTTTACAATTTTTTTAATTTTTAGGTGTATTTATGTTAGGTGTGTCTAAAAATTACAAAAAATACTTAAAATATTAAAAAAATTCAGTAAAAACAATATAACACGGAAACAAGAAAGTATAATTTTCTCAAAAGAGTTTTTGGAAAACTCTAACCTAGCATAGTGATTGTGGTTTTGAGACAGCTTCATATATATACAGTCACAAAATGGTTTGAATAAATTCAACGGTATTTTTCTGTCGCAAAAAAAAATTAAAAAAAACAATGTCGTCTTACTCTTTTGATATAATATTTCTCTTTTCATTCATTTTTTCATCTTCCTGTCTCTCTGTCTCTATCTCTCTCTCTTCTCTTTATCTCTTTCACTCATCACTCTTCTTTCTTTGTCTGTTTGTTTCTCTTTCTCATTTTCTCTCTGTGTCTCTCAACTATCTCTCTTCTCTCTATCTCTCTCATCTGTTTTCTCTCTCTGTCTCTCTCGCTCATCTCTCATCTCTCTATCTCTCTCATTTCTTTTCTCTCTCTCTCTCTCTTTCTCTCTCTTATCTTTCTATCTCTCTCGCCCATTTCTCTTCTCTCTCTATCTCTCTCTCTTTTTCTGTGTCTCTCTCTCGCTCATCTCTTTTCGCTCTATTTCTCTCTTTTTTTGTCTATCTCTCGCTCATCTCTTGTTTCTTTCTCTTTTTCTATCTCTCCCTCTATCTCTCTCTCTTTCTTTCTCTCTCTATCTCTTTTTCTGTCTATCTCTCTCTTTCACTGTCTCTCTTTCACTCATCACTCTTTTCTTTCTCTCTCTCTCTGTCTACTTGTCTATTTGTCTATCTCTCCCTCACTATGTTCACCTTACTCACTCTCTTATTTTCATCTTCTCTATTTATCGAGTTCCTTCTCGATTTATCGATCCACTATAAACGACGTCGTCTTACTCTTTTGAACATTTCTCTTTTCACCCATTTTTTCATCTTCCTATCTCTCTGTCTCTGTCTCTCTTCTCTTTCTCTCTCTTACTCATCACTCTTCTCTGTCTGTCTGTCTGTCTCTCTCTTTCTCTATGTGTCTCTGTCTCTCTTCTCTCTCTCTCTCATCACTCTTCTCTTTCTGTCCGTCTCTCTCTTTCTCTCTGTGTCTCTATCTCTCTTTTCTTTCTCACTCTGACTCATCACTCTTCTCTATCTGCCTATCTGTCTCTCTCTTTTTCTCTGTGTCTCTCGTCCATTTCTCTTCTCTTTATCTCTTTCATATATCTTCTCTCTCAGTCTCTCTTCTCTCTCTTATTTTTTTCTCTCTTGCTTTCTCACTCATCTCTTTCTGTGTCTCTCTCATTTATCTATTTTCGCTTTTTTTCTCTCTCTCTTTGTCTATATCTTTTCACCCATTTTTTCATCTTGTTCTCTCTCTTTTCTTTCTCTCTCTCATTCATCACTCTTCTCTTTCTGTCTGTTTATTTGTCTCTCTCTCTCTGTGTCTCTCATTCATCTATCTCTTCTCTCATCTATTTTCTCTCTTTGTCTCTTTCGCTCATCTCTCTTCTCTCTATCTCTCTCACTCATTACTACTACCATCGTCACCACTCCACTACCATTTCTACCACTATTACCACTACTGTGTAATTATCGATCCACTATTTCTCTCTTTCTCTCTATGTGTCTGTCTGTCTGTTTGTCTCTCTCCCCCATTGTGTTCACCTTGCTCATTTTCTCCCTCATCTCTTCTCTATTTACCGAGTTATCCACTACAAGAAAATGCACTTTTAGCGACCACTTTGTCTCTCTCTCGCTCATCACTTTATCTCTGTCTGCTTGTCTGTCTCTCTTTCTCTCTCTCCATCTCTCTTCTCTAGCTGTCTCTCACTCATCTCTCTTTCACCACCTATCTTCTCTACCACATTCACCACTACTACAATTGCCATTCCACTACTACCACTGTTGTCACTCCACCTCTACAACTATCATTACTACCACCATCGTTACCACTTCACTACCACCACTACTACTATCATTACCTCTCCTCTACCACTGCTATTCTATCTCCTCTACTACTACCACAACTTCACCACTTATCTCCTTCACCATCACTACCACCACTACTATTACCTCTTATCCACCACTTTCACCACTACTGTCACTTCCTATCCTCTACCACAAAAAATTAGTTCTTGATTTTTAGTAACAAAAAAAAAAAAAGGGTCACAAAAAAATATTTTTCATTGACCACAAAAAATTAACTTTATTTTAATGAAAAATATTATCCCTACTTCTACCAAATAAAAAAATAATAATAATTTTTTATTCATTAAAATAAATATGAAATAAATAAATTTTTAACCTTACTAAATGAAAAAAAAAATTCATTAACTATAAAAAAAATTCATTAACTATAAAAATTATTTTAATAATTTTTATTTTAATAAAAAATTCATTAACTATAACATTTGTGGGTGTGTGTAGAGTTTTGTTTGAGAACACACACACAACACAAACACAACAAAGCCGTCTCCTCTCCTCCTGCTCTCTCCATCTAGGGTTTCGCTTTCCTCTCTCTCTCTTTCACACAACGACGGCGCCGATCATCCGTCACCGCCGATCCTCTCTCACCCCCGATCCTCCCTCACCGTCGCTCGTACCTCACTGTCGATTCTCCTCCCTTATCGCCGCTGTTGCCTCCCTCTTTCTCTCTCTCACAGACGACGTTGACGGTTGCTTGCCTCTCACTGCCACTCCTCCCTTGCCGGCGATCTTCCCTCACCGCCGATTTCAAAGGGTATCTCTCTCTTTCTCTCTGTGTGTCGGGATTTCGGATATAGGGGGTTTTCATACACACACACGCACACACACATACACACACACATATATATATATATATATATGTGAGTGTATATAGGGGGTTTTTGATCTGTTACATATATATATCTATATATATATGATCTGGTTTTTTTCTTGATCTGTTTTTCCCATGCAGATCTGCCTAGTACTACTACTCATACCAGCCTCTCTGCTGTGAATGAACACGACAACGTTCTTTTAGAAGCAATTGGAGAGTAATTCAATTTCTATCCTTTAAACTTTACATTATACATTAGCTTAGCATACATATCCTTTCTATTTATTTATTTTAAATATATACATATATATATATATATATATAAGTTGATCTTTTATTGAGTTTTTGATATGTTACATATATATATATGATCTGGTTTTTTTCTTGATCTGTTAAATAAATATATATATAATTGATCTTGGGAAATATAAATAAATATATATATCTGTTAAATATATCATTCCCTTTTTGATTTATGGAGATGTTTTGTGTATGGGTTTTGTATGGCAGTCTTAATGTTACAGGATGTATGGCACCGTGTGGGTTTTGTGTGGCAGTGTCTCAATTCTCAATGTTTTGTATGGCACTGTGTGGGTTTTGTGTGTGGGTTTTGTATGCTATAGGATGTAATATGCAGGATGTAATATGCAAGATGTAATATGCAATTTCACATGCTACAGGTTGTGTATTACAGGATGTAATATGCAATTTTTTTTTTTAATTGGCAAATATTTTTGGTTGGTTAACTTGATGACCAACCACTGCCCCAGCTAAGTCCATCCTATGAGACCAAGAGTGGGGGGCATTGAGGTCTGTTACTTGGTAGCTAGTGTAGGAATTTGCCCTTTTGCTATCTCTAGTGGGTACGTGTTTTGCACCATTTTTCAGCACATCAACTATTTTTTATTTTTATTTTTATTTTTATTTTGTTTTTTATTTTTAGTTTTTGAGAATTTCCACTGAAGTTTTATAAATAGAGAGGTTCCAAGCATTATTAGTAACTTATATAAAAAAATAAAAAAAAGTTAGCTAAGTCCATCCTATGAGACCAAGAGTGGGGGGCATTGAGGTCTGTTACTTGGTAGCTGGTGTAGGAATTTTCCCTTTTGCTATCTCTAGTGGGTACGTGTTTTGTACCCATTTTCAGCACATCAACTATTTTTTATTTTTATTTTTATTTTGTTTTTTATTTTTAGTTTTTGAGAATTTCCACTGAAGTTTTATAAATAGAGAGGTTCCAAGCATTATTAGTAACTTATATAAAAAAATAAAAAAAGTTTCATGTTTTCTTGCTGAATACTTTAGCGGTTGTACATATATCATTTTGACCTTTTCTCATTGGTGTCTTCATTTTCTAGTTTCTAAGACATTAAAACCATATGTTTGACATAGGTGATTCTTTTTCTTGTTAAAATTGTTTTTGCATTTTGTTAATTTATTAAGAAAATTACTTTAATCAGCTACCAGATGGAAGGGTCATCAAAGTTGGCACAGAACGGTTCCAAGCTCCAGAGGCTCTTTTTACTCCTGTAAGTCTGTTTTTCTTGTTAGTTACTTATCTTCAAGAAAATGGGAATTTATCTCTTCTACTACTTGGTACATATACACAGCTATGAGGGCTGGTTGATGGATCTTTGTGCCTTAATTAAAATATAGGCACACTTCCTCTGCATATGTACTTTAACAAGATGATTGTGAATAGGTTAAAATTGTTGGTTTGTACAACTTTCTAAGACACTTTGTAAATTGATGGATATATTTGATCAACTGAAGAATCCAAATTGATGGGTATATGCACTATAGCTATAGAGGCAGGTCCTTTTGCCATGGACCACTCCCTACCTCGTGCCATATACATTTTGTAATGCATTTGGGTTTATTTCATTTATTTTGTTTTATTTAACTTTTAATTTGTTTTATTTTTCATAGCTCTACCAACACATAGTTTTAAGTGGGGGGAGTACTATGTATCCTGGATTGCCTAGTCGGTAAGAAATTTAAATCCCCTTTTGCATTATATAAAATCATTGCACTGCTTTTTTCTTGGTGATTAATTTGTCTCTCACAAGTTACATTTGCAGTGATTTTTCAACTTATTGGACTTTTTGAAAAGTTGGTCTTAATTGCTCTATGTTCTTCTCTTGGAAAACATCTGTCTGCATGTTTTACAGTCTTGCAACTAAAGTAGTCATCTGCCTTTGTGATTTTAATAGTGAATCGCTAATCTAGTTTTGTAAGAACCCAAGGAGATGCCCTATTTAGTTCTGATACTTCGGTATAGCTTTAAATTTAGTTTTTGAAGTTTTTCCTTTTTATTTTCCTACAGCCTGGAGAAAGAAATTTTAGACCGTTATCTTGAAGCTGTTCTGAAGGGAAACAAGGATGGGTTGAAGGTAAGACCCAAGTTACATGTGTTATGGTATGGAAGGAGAAGAAAAAAGGAAAAAATATCATGTTTTTTTTTTTATTTTGTTCATCCAATTTAACAATGAGGCTCTCACTTCATGTTAGCTAACAATTCTTCTGATCTTCCTCTACTTCTAACAGAAACTACGGTTGCGGATAGAGGATCCACCGCGAAGAAAGCATATGGTGTACCTTGGAGGAGCAGTCCTTGCAGGAATTATGAAGGTATAGTGTTGCCTCTCTCTCTCTCTCTCTCTCTCTCTCTCTCTCTCTCATACAAACCAGGACACAGTGGTTTCAATGATGTGTTTTGTCAACTTGCATTTTTCACCCCCATGTTAAGTATGTCTTGTGCTTCTAAAAGTATACCACAATATTTGGACAGTGCATTTGTTGCTTTCAAATTTGTGAAAAGCAAACTAAAATGAAGAGCAAAAAAGGAAAGCAAGAAAAGAAAAAATAAATAAAGGGAAAATAATTTTCTTAACAAAAAGCAATTTTTTAGATACAGGGAACAAAAACATGAATTGATATGGAGTTGGACATTGAGAAATTTGATTACTCGTGCAGGATGCACCAGAGTTTTGGATTAGCAGAGAAGATTACCCGGAAGAGGGAATTGCATAAGCAAGTGTGGCCAAGCATGAATTTTTGGCTAGGAGAGTGTTAGCATTTAAGTCTTCCAAGAGTTGGGTGGCTAATGTAGTGATCTATTTTTGTGATAATTCTAGCAAAAGTTTCGTTATGCCATACGTATCGCCCAAAAAAAAAATCTCACCATGCCATACCCTTATTGCTAGGTATAGGGAAAAAATTATGTGTTTTAATGCTTCCTGCATATCTTTATATTGGTGGAGCAGATGTCTATCATGTATATCAGTGTAACAATTTTTGTACTTGAATTTTCCCTTTTATCGTAGGATGTTTTTTTCTTTTTTGCGATGGCATTACACCGTCGCAAAAAATAAAAAATTTTAATATTTTTATTAATTTTGTTACAGGTTTTACTTTTTGCGACGGTATTATACTGTCGCAAAAAATAGAAATTTTATTATTTAAAATAGTAATTTTATTATTTTTTAATACTTTTTGTGACGGCATTACACTGTCGCAAAAAATAGAAATTTTCATATTTTTAATACTTTTTGCGATGGCACCACACCGTCGCAAAACAGTGTTTTTGCCGTTGCAAAAAAAGACTACTAGCGACGGTATTTTTTGCCGTCTCAAATAACATTTTTAGCAACGGTAAAATAGTGTCGTCACAAAAAAGTCAAGAAATTTCAAACGTTATTAGCGACTGCACAGTGCCGTTGCAAAAAGGCAAAAATGCCGTCGTAAAACATTAGCGACGCAAAAACTCTTTTGCAACCCCTGCAATTGCGACCCCCTCTTGCCGTCGCAAAAAGTCATTTTACCGTTGCAAAAAGTATTAGCGAAGGCATTAGGAGTATTAGCGACGGTATTTTACCGTCGCAAAAAGTCAATTTTTTTGTAGTTGCGTATTGTAATTGGTGATGTTGCTTTGGTGATTTTTTTTTTTTTGTACATCCAAACAAAACTCAAGTATCCAAATATTTTTGACATGTAAGATATTTTTAGGATTATTTACTTTAAGATCTTTAAATTATTGAAAATTATCATTTTGACCATCCAAACTATACAAACGTATAAATCGACCTTTTAAACCATTGAGAAGTATCACTTTGCCCCTATAAACTACTTAAACTATTGACTTGTTTTACCTTGACCCCCCGTTAATAGTCTAATTTGTTTGTTTTTATAATTTAGAAACATTTGTACATTTTTATAGTTTATGAGGTAAAATGATATTTCTCAATAGTTTAGGGGGTTCATTTATACGCTTTTAAAGTTTAGAGGGGTCACAATGATACTGTTCAATAATTTAGGAAGGTTCTGTGCAAATAACCCATATTTTTACTCGTATAATTTTGTTCTAACGTTTTGTTCACTCAAACAGCAAAAAATGTAAATAATTTTTTTTGAAAATATTTTACAAGATGAAACAGTGGGATAGAAAAACGCTAAAAATATATTACTTACCATGGTGAAAACAAAAGCCTTGTTTGCTAATACTTTTGTTTTTGTTTTAAAAAAAATGAAATTAACTCTAAAATTTTCAAAATTTTTGAGAAAAAAAAGGAAAGTATTTTCACTTATTTTCAAAATCATTTTTTATTTTATCTTCCCTCCTTTACCACCCACTTACCGCCAACGACCTTTTGGTGGATGACGAAACTCTAGCCACTGTGACCTTTTTCGACATTTCATTAACCAATTCCAACAGCCACCTCTTGTCATTCCCATTGGCGGCCACCCACACAATCACTCCACAATTTTTATTCTGTGACGAATGTACTTTTTGTCATTGCCACTAACAAATTTAAATCTCATTTTCTTTAACATCAGAAACTCAGAATTAACAATTTAGGTTTTAGGATTACTTTCACCAACTCCAATAAAACTCTCCACCAACCACTGCCTCTAGCAACTAACAAAATATTTGTGTACACTTTTGTTGTAAAAAAACTTATTTATTATTTTTTTATCAATTGGAAATAAATATGTTTACACAAACAGCAGCAATTGTGCGTGAGAACCAATATTGGCGTGTGAGGAGAAACAAAGCGAGTGCCAAATGTGGAAGCCATCAAATCAAGAAAATGCACTTTGACCCCCACACCTTTTTTTTTTTTGTTGATAAATTGACCCCCACACCTTTAAACACCGGACTAACATATTTGCCTTTTGACATCTTCTAATTACTTCTTTTAGCAAAAGAAAAATTGGCTAAAAGATTCTCCACATATAAAAATAGGGTAAGTTATATTGATCTCTTAAAATTTAAAGAAAATCCTGTAAGTTTTATAATTTTAACATAATTATACAATTTTAACATAATTATATAGGATTCTCTTTAAATAAGATTAAAGAAATTAAAATTAATACAGATAGTATAAAAACACAAAGATATACAAGGTAAAATATATATTTTAATATAAAGGATTATTTTTTCATTCATATAACTAAGAAATTTTGATAAAAATGGAGCCAAGTGTTACATGAACTAAAACCTTAAAAGAGTATAGTATAATGATGTTAAATTTATAGGAGATTGTATTTTTTTAAAACTTAAAAAAAATCAATGTAATTTACTTACAAAAACATTAAGACATAGTTCAATAATTAAAAATACATTACCATTGACAACGTATAAATTTTAAGATACCATGCCAAAGGACACTTGCAACAATCTTGCAAGAACTTTGATCCTAGGCTCCTCTAAATGGAGAATAAAAGATCATTTTTTTTGTGTGTACTTCTTTTTTTGTTTTCTTGAAAAGTATTCTATATTCCAACATTCTCTCACTCTTTTCCTATACAAGTGGAATTCAGTCAGGTTAGTTTGGCACCGTTCTTTGGTACTTACAAATTAGAGGAAGAGAAACAAAGTGAAAAAAAGAGAGACAAAAAGTGAACACTTTTTACATTATTAATTTCGTTTCTCATTTTAAGCCAGTAGTAGTAGTAAACACCTTTGCCCAAGAACACAGAATATGGAATATATTAGACCAAAACAATTATAGAGAAGTGTGAATGATAAAAGGACTTTATTTAACCAAAAGAGTGATCATCTTGGTTTGCCATTTGATTCAATAATCAGATGGTAACGATGCCGTTTAATGTGGTGGTGCTCAAGGCCATACATTCACACGGTTCATAATTATCGTGATGCCTTTTCTTTTTCCTCCAAGAAAAAAGATTCATAAAAAAAATGTACATTTAATCGATCCAAAAATGTACATTTAATCGAATTTGCCTTTTTTAACTCCTATTGCTTGAACATGAAGAAAAATCACATTATCCAAAAAAATTTATACCATCTAATCAATCAAAATGAATTGTGAGCGACATTTTTCAAATAATAGGCCTTTTGTTTAGAAATAATAATACCCAAATTTTGATTAAGTTGTATAATTTTTTTCATTGTATATCATCACACAATTTAAAATTACAGTTCAAATTCATTATGGGTGATAGCATTAATTTAATTGAATTTGCAAATAGTGATAGCAAAGTGAAAGCATAGTGAAATTGTCATTGTGAAATGGAAAACTTGTTGGAGAGGTCAAGAACCGTGGTCTAAAGGAAGCTCAAATGTGAAAGTGTAAAACACAGATACCTATCTGTCTCACCTTCTAATCACCTACCCAACTAAACACAGAATTCTCATCAGTCAAACTCAACCAAAAAAACAGAGGCCCCACTTTGAAAAAGCACTTCACCGTCCTACTTACCCAACCCTCCCTCCCATTCTATAAATTCAAGTGGCTTAGTCCATGGAGATTCTGCAGCCAACTCTCCCATTTCCATCTCTTTGTTGTTGCAGAGCACATTGGAAGAGTAACAAAGAGTCTGATCAAAAGCAGAGATGGGTTTGAAGGGAACCACTCTTTCAAGATCAACGATGTGTCGAGCTCTAATGGTTGTCATCATAATGCTGTCGTTGCTTACACTGCTAACTCCGGTTGATTGTAGAGTCCTCCTTCCTACAACTTCAACAGAAAAGGGTGAGATGATGATCACCGGTTCTGAAACCGTTCGCGGGTTTGAATCGTCTGGACTGTCTTCATCCTCTGATTCATTTGACACCAAGAAAAGCAGGGTTTTGGTGGGAAACCAACAAGTGTATCTGATGGCTTCTGGACCTAGCAAGAAAGGCCCCGGCCACTAGTAAAATTCAACATATGGTGTGCGCCTTTTTCAATATAGCAAGGGAGCGCATGTTGCAAGACCTATCAGATGACTTCTCAAGTTCCACGCTTCTTTTCTCTGTTTCACTATTTATTTGTTGGGAGACATAAGGGTACATGTAACTTGTGATTATCTAGGAATTACAGAATAGGGAGTTTACATTGTAAAGAAATTCTTTGATTTTTGCCTGAGGCTGTCTTTGTTGGGTTAGGTTGTTTTTTAAGAATTAAACAGTATACGGATGAATCAATCAAGAAAGTTGATGCAAGAAATTAATATGGCCTCTTGTTTTCAGTAACTCTTGCTAAAATTCAAAGCTGTTTTTTTTTTTTTTTTGTTGTTGTTGTTAAATGTGGATGTGTGTTCATCGGCCCTCTGCTCACATCTCCGGGTTTCAAAGGCAAGAGACTACTCTCATAGGATACACACAAATCACTTGTATCCCCGAGTTTTGTCACTAGTGAGAGTTGTCCGTGTTAGGAATTACCCGTTGTTTGGCACAAAGTAGAGTTGTACTCTAATAATAAAAACTTCAGCAGCCAACATGTTACAATTTGTTGAAGCAGTTTAGTAACTCATGATGATAAAAATTTCCACCTCATCCTACTACCCGAAGTAGGCTTGTTTGTAGCCATTTTCTTGCATACATTTTCTCCACTGTATCTCCGAATTTTATTGACGATAAGTCTCAATTGATCTTGTTTATTAAAAAGTTCAAAACTGTGAATTATATATTCGACCAACCATTTCCTCTGCCAGAGCGCCAGGCCAGATCTACTTTACTTGTCAACAGTTTAACATGATATTATACATGATTCTGTTATCAAGTCTCATTGTCT